ACGGAGAGGTCACTGGTTATATTTCTCATCAGGGCACACGCCCAGGTAGCGGGCCTCCATCCCCAGGAGGGAGTGTGCAGGAGGCAGCTGATCAATGATGTTTCTCTCTTATCGGTGTTTCTACTTCTCTTCCCCTCTCCCTTGCTCTCTCTCTAAAAAAAAAAAAAAAAAATCAATAAAAACATATTTAAAAAAGAAAAAAGCTTTTCCTCAGTTTGTTTGCCAACGGCAAAATTATCACATGCCCAGCAAGAGTGATATTCTCAGAATTTAATTATTTATTTTTTTAATCCTCACCTGAGAACATTTTTCCATTTTTTGTTCAGATATAGTGGGAGGGAGAGAAAGAAAGAGAAAAGCAGAGAGAGAGAGAGAGAGAGAGAAACATCGACGTGAAAGGGACACATCGAGTGGCTGCCTCCCACACGACCCAACCAGGGCCAGGGACAAACTGCAACCGAGGTACATGCCCTTGGTGGGAACCAAACCTGGGTCTCTCTGGACTGCAGGATGACGCTCTAACCGCTGAGCCAAACCGGCCAGGGCTCCAAATTTAAGTGTTACAGTACCCAGATCAACATCCTTGTACCTTATAAGCTAATACTTTTTTTATTTTGTTTTTGTTACAGATGTTTCTCATCCCCCCCCCCTCATTGACACCCTCCTCCCCTTCCCCTCCACCCCATCCCCAGCTAATTCTTTCTTTTTAGAAAAATAGAACCAGTCTTTCTGAGGTATGAACTCCAGCAGTGATTCGGGTAACACCTGGAGTAATTTACTATTACTTCAGATTCTCAGTACTCACTCAAAAATTGAATACCAACAAATGCCCAAAATGGAAAATACTAGGTAATAAGTATTATTCTTATAATAGGTGCATAAAAAACATTATTTCTAACAAAAGATTAACATGAATACCATACAGATACAGAAAGGTGTAGATTTCAAAATCTACAAAACAACTGATGATTATGCAATACCAAGCAGGCACAGGACACCATTATTTTCAGAAAGATGTGTTTTAAAGAGTCAAAAACAAATTAACAAAAATTCTTCAAATTAAGTCAGCTATAATGCTTTCCTTAAAATTTATATTTAAAGCCCTGGCTGGTATGGCTCAGTTGCTTGAGCATTGTCCCATGCACCCAAAGGTCATCAGCTCAATTCCCAGTCAGAACATATGCCCAGGTTGCAGGCTCATCCCCGGTGAGGGGCATGTAAGAGGCAGCCAATTGATGTTTCTCTCACATGGATGTTTCTCTCTCTCTCTCTCTCTCCCTCTTTCTCTCTCTCTCCCCCTCCCTCTTCCTTCCTCTCTCTCTAAAATCAATAAAAACATATTTAAAAAAATAATATTTAAAACTTCCAATTCTTTCTTTTCAGCTACTAATTCCCATCAATCACTTAATCTAAAAACATATGATAAAACAAACTGTATTTTAGAATAGTTCCCTAAACTATTCTCATTCAACTGAACAATTTAAAACTCAGTAAATTTATTTACTAAAATCCAATAGAATATCAGGGAAAAAGGCAAAATGTTTAAAGAACTAGTCTATTTGGCAGTACCACTTTTATGGAGCTAAAAAGTAAAGTATTCCAAGGGTAGACAGAATGTCAAGGATGGAGATGTTACCCAAATCATTGCTGGAATTGGAAATCATCATTAAGTAGGAACATTGTAAGCTAGGGCAAAGGGTATGAGTATTGATATGCAACACACACACACACACACACACACACACACACACACACACATCTTCATTACAATGTCCTAAACAGGGCCTCCTAAAAGGCATAACCTAGAAAAAGGTCAAAATCAGCTGAAGAAAACATGTACTGGGAGCTAAAGAAAGAAAGTTTAAAATAAAATGCCTTGAGTTAGAAAGAAGACGAGGAAAAGGAAAAAGAAGAAGTAGTAGTAATTTGTGGCACCTACACACAAAAACATCTTAATGAAAATTTTTCAGAAAAGAAATTGAAGAAAAATTAAAGGAGTACAGTCATATTACATAGAGTATAAAAATCAGTTACACTGGAGTTTATCAGGTTAACACTGAAATTATTCCCTTAGGCACACATTAAACCAAGAGTCACAAACAGCCTTCCAACATTAACAGTCCACATATTGCTTAATTTATAATTATTTATACTATATATTACTACTGAATTTGTTATTAAAGTATTTTATTGTATAGATAAATTACAAATTGCCAAACCCTACATGACTTATAATCTAAAAAGTCCATTGTTCTGCCCAGCCAGAGTGGCTCAGTTGGTTAGGCATCGTCCTGTATACCAAAAGGTTGCCAGTTCGATTCCCGGTCAGGACACATATCTGGGTTTTGGATTCTATCCCCAGTTGGGGCATTTATGGGAGGCAACCAATGTTTCTCTCTCATACCTCACACTGATGTCTCTGTGTATCTCTTTCCAACCCCAACCCCATTATTCTCTCTAAGCATAAGCATGTCTTTGGGTAAGGATTTAAAAAAAAAAATTTTTTTTTAAATAAATAAATAAAAAGCCCACTATTCTTAAGGGAAGCATATTAAGTTAAGAGCATGGTAAACCTCCACCTAAAGGTTAATCTTAAACCAGTTTCACTAAGGTGCTATTTATGGCCCTGACATTTACACATCTGTGCAAACCCTTTTGAATCCATTTAAAATAAAGAGATTTCTTCTTTAAAGGTATTATTCAATATGGAGAAATCTTTATGTTCATTCTCAAAACTGGTCCACTCACATTTCAAAGGAATCCTCCAACAATTTTAGTACTTGAAAACTGGTGAATAAATCTTAAGTTTATTTTATCCAGGCTCGTATTTTGTTTGTATATTCACCTTCAGGCCTTACTTTTCCATCGATGCATAGAATTTTTAAAACATTTTTTAATATAAGTAATTTTTGTTATTTTAAAATAAATCACGTGCCGTGGCCGGTTTGGCTCAGTGGTAGAGTATTGGCCTGCGAACCAATGAGTCGTGGGTTCGATTCCAGCCAAGGGCACGTGCCTCGGTTGCAGTTCGTCCCTGGCCTTGGTCAGGGTCACCAGTCAGAGGCAGCCAGTCGATCTGTCCCTCTCACGTCGATGTTTCTCTCTCTCTCTCTCCCTCTATCTGAAGATAAATAGAAAAATATCCTTGGGTGAGGATTAAAAAAATAATACTAATAACAAAATAAAATAAATCACGTATCCAGCATCTTGTAGAAAAACAATTCCACTAAAGTCTGATTATACATATGGCACTAAAATTTTGTCTTTTTAAATTATGTCCCCAAAATACACCAAACTTTTTACCTTGACAGAGACTACTGAAGGTAAAAGAATTTCTTCCAAATGACCATAACTATCAATTCACAAATTTGTAACTGTACAGTATAGCAACACAATCTTTCATCTTCATTTTAGTTTTCAGGTCTCCTCCCTAAATATCCATCTGGTAGCATATCCACTGGCTGGACATATTACCTGCACAAAAGCAAAAGTCTGTGGCTTCTCAGTTGCTTTGGACTTAATAAAATGGCGTTAAAAATCGAAGTCAATAAGGCACTAAGAAAACACCAAGTACTGTATGTGGCTCAGTTTACAGAATTTGTGACAATATGATTTGTTTTGATCTGAACTGTATTTATTTATTTATTTATTTATTTTTATCCTCACCTGAGGATATTTTTCCATTTTTTGTACAGATAGAGTGGGAGGGAGAGAGAGGAAGAGAGAGAGAGAAACATCGACGTGAAGGGACACATCAAGTGGCTGCCACCCGCACGACCATCCAAGGCTGGGGACAAACTGCAACCGAAGTACATGCCCTTAGCAGGAACTGAACCCAGGTCTCTCCGGACCGCAGGCCGATGCTCTAACTGCTGAGCCAAACTGGACAGGGCTTGATCTGAACTGTATTTAAAGATTGATAGAAGAGTACTCTCTAGATAAATGTAGTATTAGTAGCTGGTTGTTTAAATATTAACATTTCTTGAAGTATAGCAATGATAACAACTATGTAATAATAAGGCATCCTGAAGGGAATAACCAATTCTGTACTACTCACCACTGCATTCAGGTACTCAAACAGTGCCTGATACATTGTAAAACCTCATTTTTTTTTTTTAATGAACAGCAATGCAAAAGCCTATAGCTTAATTTCCTAGTTTATTTTAATAACTTATGTTCCCCTTGAAATACAGATCTTTATTTTGAATCAGACACCATATCATATACAAAATAACCTTTCTTAAGAGACATTAAAGCAAATAGAGCAACATAATGACAATTGGTGAATCTAGAGGAAGAATCTAAGCTTTTCGTAGATTTTAAATTTTTTCAAAGAAAAAGATTTTAGAACTATTATTCAATTAGGCAAATACCTTATATTTGAATAGTTATTTTGATATTACCTTCCATCTTCCATAGCACTCTTACCAGTTTATTATGCTCAGTATATACCCTCACACACAAAAATATGCAAAAAGAAACTACCAAATTTTTTTAATTCACATTGATTCATTAATATCTAATTTTTTTAAAAATATGTTTGATTGATTTTTTTTTTTTTTAGAGCAAGAGGAAGGGACAGAGGGAGAGAAATATCCATGTGAGAGAGAAACATTTACTAGCTGCCTCCTGCACGCCCCGGACTGGGAATTGAGCTCCCAAACCAGGCATGTGCCCTGACCAGGAATCGAACTAGGACCTCTCAGTCCATGGGACAACCCTCAATCCACTGAACCACACTAGCTGGGCTCATTAACATCTAATTTAAAGAAGGCAAAGACATTTTTTTGTAAGACTAAGAATATAAAAAGACATAAAATAACAACACTCTCACTTGCCCTGGACAGTTTTGCTCAGCAATTAGAGCATCGGCCCTTGGACTAAAGGGCTGCGGGTTCAATTACCGGTCAGAGCACGTACCTGGATTGTAGGTTCGATCCCCAGTCCTGGTCCAGGTCATGCGGGAGGCAACCAATCAATGTGTCTCTCTCACATCAATGTCTCTCAATCTCTCTCTCTCTCTCTCTCTCTCCCCCTTCCCTTTCACTCTACCTAAAAAAAAAAAAAAAAATCAATGGAAAATTATCTTCAGGTGAGGATTAATAGCAACAAAAAAACAACTCTCAGTTTGTAAGTACAAATGTTTACTGGGTTTCAAAAGTTGAGCATAGCCCTGGCTGATCTTGCTCAGTGGTTAGAGCATCGGCCCGAGGGCCAAAGAGTCGTGGGTTCGATTCTGGTCAAGGGCATGTACCTCATTTGCAGTTCAGTCCCTGGCCCTGGCCCTGGCCCTGGCCAGGGTCGAGTGGGAGGCAACCCATGAGTGTGGCTCTCTCACATCTCTGTCTCTCTCTACCACCTTCCCACACTATCTGAGGATAAATGGGAAAATACCCTCGGGTGAGGATTAAGAAAAAAAAAGTTAAGCATGAGATACCTTATCATTCAATGCCAAGTGCTATAATATACTGGACCCACTGCAATTCTCTGACAGATTACAAATTTGCTGAATCATTTGTTTAGTATCCTATAAAACAGTATATATCAAGAGCATAAAACTGAAACTTAAGACTACAGTTACACTTTGTTCAAAAAGCAAAAATAGTTGCCCAGCCAAATAGCTTAGTTGCTTAGAGCTTCATCCTGATACGTCAAGATTGCAAGATTGATCCCCAGTCAGGGCACATAGAAGAATCAACCAATGAATGCATAACTGAGTGGAATAACAAGTCGATGTCTCTCTCTCTTATTATATATGTCTACCTTCCGCTCTCTAAAAATAAAAATACTCCTTTTCCCCCAAGTAAATTAACCAAGAATTACACATCTAAACTAAAGCTGTTTCCTTTAAATGACACTGTTCTGAAAAGTGGAACTACTCTGATTCCTTACCACATTAATTTGACTATTCTAAATAACAAAAATATCAATATTTTGTGGATAGACTGGATAAGTGCAAAAACAGCTACAAAATATCATTCATCCATAACTACTGGAAGTTGTGAGTTAAAAAGTGGGGTAAAGCCCTGGCCAGTTTGGCTCAGCGGTTAGAGCATTGGCCTGTGGTCCGGAGAGACCCAGGTTCAGTTCCCGCTAAGGGCTTGTACCTCAGTTGCAGTTTGTCCCCGGCCCTGGTTGGGTCGTGTGGGTGGCAACCACTCAATGTGTCCCTTTCACGTCGATGTTTCTCTCTCTCTCTTTCCCTCCCACTCTATCTGAACAAAATATCGAAAAATGTCCTCAGGTGAGAATAAAAAAGAAGTGAGGTAAAAAACATTTGGGGCTGGGTTTGCTCAGTGGTTAGAGCGTCAGCCTGCAGTCCAGGGAGATCTGGGTTCGGTTCCCGCTAAGGGCGTGTACCTCGGTTGCGGTTTGTCCCTGGCCCTGGTTGTTCGTGCGGGTGGCAGCCACTTGTGTGTCCCTTTCGTGTCAATGTTTCTCTCTCTCTCTCTCTCCCTCCTACTCTATCTGAACAAAAAATGGAAATGTGTCCTCAGATGAGGATAAAAAAAAAAATTGGGGGTCAAAAATTACTTCAAATTCTAGTTAAGATAATGGAGAAATGCCCTGGCCGGTTTGGCTCAGCGGTTGGAGCGTCGGCCTGTGGACCAGAGAGACCCAGGTTTGGTTCCCACTAGGGGCACGTACCAAAAAAAACAAAAGATAATGGAGAAAGACCTCCCTGAACCCTTCTCTTCAAAGTCACACAAAAACAATAAGAAATACAAGAAATGCCCTGGACGGTTTGGCTCAGCGGTTAGAGCGTCGGCCTACTAACCAGAGAGTCCCGGGTTCAGTTCCTGCTATGGACATGTACCTGGTTGCAGTTTGTCCTTGGCCCTGGTTGGGGTTGTGTAGGTGGCAACCAGTTGATGAGTCTCTCTCACATCGATGTTTCTCTCTCTCTCTTCCCCCTTCTCTCCCTCCCCGCTCTTTCTGAAGATAAATGCAAAAAAAAAATGTTCTCAGGTGAGGATAAAAAAAAAAAAAGAAATATAAATAAAATTTACCTTCATTTCAGCGAACAGATATTGTAACTCTAACAACAACAGATGAAGACAAAGAAGCTTAGGGTCAATGAAAACACCAATGAGGAGCAAGTCAATTCATGTGTCTGAATCCTGGAAACATTGAACAGTAGGAGGTATCAGGTACTAGGCAGAAAGTGAGGGCCTGACTAAAGGTTTTATAACAACACCCAAAGACCTAGCAGGAGTCTAAAGGTTTCTTCCCTAGTAAATCCGAAATAGATACACTTTAAATTCAGGAACAAGAGGCTCAATGAAATTTGGTGATGAGATTAAAATAGGGAGATTTACATGCCCTGTCCATGCTCACAGAGCTTGCAAACATCTTTGTAATGACCCCTTCTTAATTATGAATGCACACCCTGAAATCACCAGTTATTGGAGGAAGGCTAAAATAAAATACAGAATAAAAACAAACGAGGGTGGGGAAGCACCATTGAAAACTTGAAGAAAAAGTACAGAAATAAAACAAAATCTATTCTCTAAGAAAAGATACTATATTCATGAAATAAGAACAGGATGCTTTAAAAAAAAAACAAATTTTATTTTTTTATTTTTTAAAGGAAGCTTTTTATTCAGATAGAGTGGGAGGGAGAGAGAGAGAGAGAGAAACATTGACGTGAAAGGAACACATCGAGTGGCTGCCACCCAGGGCAGGGGACAAACTGCAACCGAGGTACATGCCCTTAGCGGGAACCGAACCCGGGTCTTTCTGGACCGCAGGCCAACGCTTTAACCACTTAGCCAAACCAGTCAGGGCACAAATTTTAAATAATAAACAGAAAAGGCTACTAGAAGTTTTAAAATACGACAGCCAAAATAAAACCTTCAATAGAAAATGTAAAGTCAAAGAAATCTCCCAGGAAGTAGAATGAATTAATGAAGCTGGAAAATAGGAAATTACACAAACAATCCAGGAAGTCTAACACCCAATTAAAAACAGGAAGTAAGCCCTGACTGGTTTGGTTTGGCTTGGTAGTTAGAGTGTCGGCCCTTGGGCCCAAGGGTCATGGGTTCGATTGCCAGTCAAGGGCAACTGTACCTGGGTTGTGGATCCCCAGCCCTGGTCAGGATTGTGCAGGAGGCAACCAATGGATGTGGACACATCAATGTTTCTTTCTCTCTCTTTCCACCCTGCTTCCCACTCTACCTAAAAAAATCAGTGAAAAGAATTAACCAAAGAGAGAGAGAGAGAGAGAGAGAGAGAGAGAAAGAGAAAGATGATTATAGGGGAGGATGGGAACGCAAGTAAACCTCCAAAAAGAATCTGAAAAAGCCCACCAAGTACCCGGAACAATGAATCTATAAAAAAAGATCTACCCACTAAGATACACCACTATGCAATCTCCTACCAGAAATTCAAAAAAAAATTTAAAAAGCTAAAAACTTCCAGCCCTAAGTCAGTTGAGCTTCATTCCATGTACTGGAGGGTCGCTGGTTCCATTCCTGGTCAGGGCACATGCTAAGGTTTCCAGCCCAATCCCCAGCAGGAGACAGATGATTGATAATTCTCGCTTGCTCCCTGTGTCCCTCTCCCTTCCTTGTGCTCTAAAGTATTAGGGGGAAAAAAATCTTCCAGAAACACAATAGGCCACAAATGGATAGAGAATGAGAATGGTATTAAACTTGTCAGCAACATCAGGAGCTAAAAGACAGTAGAGCAATACTTTCAAAATCCTAAAGGGAAATTGTTTTCAATCTAGAACCCTATGGCCGTCAAATTTCAACAACGGGAAAGGGAAGAATTAAGACATTGTAAAACATGGAAAGTCTCAAAAATTTCCCTCTGCCAAGCACCCTCTTTTTCAAGAAGCTACTAGATGATGATGTACTCCAAGGCAAGAAACCAAAAACTGTAATACACAAAAAAGAGAGGCAAAGGGAATTCCCACTAGCTGTGTGACAGGCCTAGTTAATAACCAATCCATTATTGAAGCAGGAAGGAAAAAAAGATCTAGGAGAGGTATGTGTGTGTGGGTGGAGGGGAAGATACCTCTGATGGTTTTACTGTGCGGAAAATCATTTTGAGAGGTTGTTGGAGGATGTAGGACGATCTGACAAAAAGATAAAAGGAAATTAATCAAATAAAGGTCATTTTTAACTTAAGAGAAAAGGAAATATAATACACTATTTGGCTTGACGGAATATTTACAGGGTATATTCAAGTAACCACTGGATATCAATTTAACAAAAAACTGGGATAAAGAGTGGGATGAGATTATAAAAGGTTAAAATTTTCTTTTTTATATTAAATTAATGACTCAAGAAATGGCAGTATAAGCATATCACTTGAAACTACAGAGGGATATAACAGAACAAAGAGCTAGAGGATGCCTCTAAAGAGCAGGACTGGGAATAGAGAGGGAATAGGACAAGAGATTGCTTTTTTGATTATCATAACACTTTCAGTAATATTTTATTTCAAATATGTGTATATATCACTGATAAAAACTAATTTTTAAAACCTTTCAGAAAGCACAGTATAAATTATTATAAAATAGTCAATCACTAAAGTCAACTTTCACTCCTATAGTTGTCACACGGAATCTCTGAAGCTTTCAGAACATCTGCATCATCTGATTAAGTGTACGCCATATTCAAAAGACCATACGTAGGCTCTCAGGTAAAACGTGAAACGATAAAACTTGCAGAAAAAGCAAAGAAAAATATCTTCAGGATCTAGGACCAGACAGAGTTCTTAGACATCAAAAGCATGATCCATAAAAAGAAAAATTAATAAATCAGACTTCATCAAAATTTTAAAATTTTGTTCTGTGAAAACCCATGTAAAGAAGACAAGACAAGCCCTGGCCAGTTTGGCTCAGCGGTTAGAGCATCGGCCTGCGGTCCAGAGAGACCCGGGTTCGGTTCCCGCTAAGGGCACGTACTTCGGTTGCAGTTTGTCCCCGGCCCTGGTTGGTCGTGCGGGTGGCGGCCACTTGATGTGTCCCTTTCACATCGATGTTTCTCTCTCTCTCTCTCTCACTCCCTCTCTCTCCCTCCCACTCTATCTGTACAAAAAATGGAAAAATATCCTCGGGTGAGGATAAAAAAAAAAAAAAAAAGAAGAAGAAAAGACAAGATAAAAGACTGGGAGGAAAACGTGCAAACCACATAACCAACAATAGATTAATATCTAAAATGTACGAAGGGAGTCCTGGCCAGCTTTGCTCAGTGGTTAGAGCGTCAGCCCGCAGACCGGAGAGTCCAGGGTTCGGTTCCCACTAAGGGCATGTACCTTGGTTACAGTTTGTCCTTGACCCCGGTTAGGGTTGTGTGGGTGGCAACCAGTCGATGTGTCTCTCTCACATCGATGTTTCTCTCTCTCTCTTCCCCCCTCTCTCCCTCCTGCTCTATCTGAAGATAAATGCAAAAAATGTCCTCTGGTGAGGATAAAATAAAATAAATAAAATGTACGAAGGACTCTCAAAACTCAACAGTAAAAAACAGTCAATACAATCAGAAAAATGGGCAACTGACTCAAAGAGACATTTCACCAGAATATATACACAGAGAAAACAAAGACATGAAAAGATTCCTCAACACCTCTGGCCGTCAGGGAAACATAAATTTAAACCCCAATGTGATTATCATTACACACTATCCAGAACAGCTAACATATAAAATAGTAACACCACCAAATGTTGGTGAGGATACAGACAAATTACATTACATACACTCTGCTGGTGAGAATGTAAAATAGCACAGCTACTTTGGAAACAGTTTGGTAGTTTCTCATAAAACTAAACATGTGCCCTGGCCAACAGTGGTTAGAGCCTCAGCCCGCATATCAAAAGGTTAGAGGTTTGATTCCTGGTCAAGGGCATGTACCTGGGTTGCAGGTTCATTCCCCAGCCCTGGCTGGGGCCCGTGCCAGAGGCAACCAGTCTGTGTGTCTCTCTCACATAGTTTCTGTCTCTCCTCCCCTTCCCCATCCCTTCTACCCTCTTTAAAAATCAATGGAAAAATAATATCCTCAGGTGAGGATTAACAAAAAAAATAAACCAAACATGCAATTACTGTATGACCCAATAATTGCAGTACCAGGCATTTATCCCAGAAAAATGAGAACTTATTATCACAACTTTCAACAATAAAAATTTAAAAAAACAAAAACAAAAACTTATGATCACAGAAAAACCTATACAAAATATTAATAGCAGATTTATTTATAAAAATTGAAATCAGCCCTGATGTTTCTAAACAGTGAATGGTTAAACTGTGGTGAATGCATATCATGCAATACTACTCAATAATAAAAAAGTACTTATGCACACAACTTGAATGAATCTCCAGGAAATTATGCTGAGCAAATAAAAGCCAATCTCAAAGGTTACATCCTTTATGATTCCATTTACATTACATTTGTGAAATGCCAAAATCTTATAAATAGAGGACAAAGTTTTGGAGGGGAGAAACGGGAGGAGGAAAGAAAAAGGATATGGTTATAAAAGAATACCCAGGATCCTCGTCCCTTGGAACTGTTCAGTATCTTCACTGTGGTGGTGATCACATGAACTTACACAAGTGATAAAACTGTAGAGAACATACACACACACAGTACAAAACTGGGGAAATCTGAATAAAAATAGTGTACTGCCACAAATGTCAATATGCTGGTTGTGATATTAGTTTCACAAAATGTTACCATTTCATGAAACTAGGCAAAGTGTACAAGGGATGCCTCTGTATTATTTTTTTACAACTGTATGTGAATCTACATTGCCTTAATAAAAATTTCAATTTAAAAAAGTCTGCATAAGCATTGCTATTGATATGAAAGAAACAAATCAATACTGTCCTGTGTTCTGACTTTGATACGATGTAATTTTGAGTCTCCAGAATAACATTTTTTTCCCATTTTCTAATGTTTTACAACCTTGGACGCTCTGTTTCTGGGTCATACTGGAAACATAATGTTCTATCACTAGTTGCTATTTTCCTCAAAAACATATTCTTTTTCATCTCTGGAAAAAAGGATAAATATCAAGCAATCACTTTTGCTTGTAACCCTGTATGGCACTGTCATCAAAGAACATTTCTCATTTCAGATTTCCCTTCAGATGAGTTTTCTTCACCAAACTTATATTCTAATTATCTTTGCAAATTCCTTTTATTATAATCCAAATTACTTATTCCATCTTTTCCCCAAGTTATCTATTTGCTGGAAGTAAATCCATGACCTTCACAAGACTTTTATCAGTTTTATGGGTTCAGAAAATGTTCTATTAACTTCAACACCCTCTGTAGCTCCTTTAAACTCTTCCTTTATGACCTATCTCCATAGGAGTTTCCCCATGCAAATCTCTCTAGCTAATCATACAATTAATATTTTGTGCTAAATAATGATTGTAAATTAACACTCAACAAGCCCCTGCTTCTCTATTCACCACAGATGCTGACACACACAAACTGGGCAGTCTTGTACCTTTAATACATTTTTTAAAATGTTCTTTAATGATTTTAGAGAGAGAAGAAGGCAGAGGGAAAGAGAGAGAGACATTGATGAGCGAGAACATCGATTGGCCACCTCCTGCATGCCCCCCAATGGAGATCAGGCCCACAACCTGGGCATGTGCCCTGACCAGGAATCGAACCGGTGACCTCTTGGGGCATGGGTTGATGTTCAACCACCAAGTCACACCAGTCGGGCAGCCTTGTACTTTTATTTTTTTATTTTTTATCCTCACCTGAGGACATTTTTTTTGTTCAGATAGAGTGGGAGGGGGAGAGAGAGAGAGAGAAACATTGACGTGAAAGGGACACATCGAGTGGTTGCCACCCACACGACCCAACCAGGGCTGGGGACAAACTGCAACCAAGGTATGTGCCCTTAGCGGGAACCAAACCCGGGTCTCTTCAGACCGCAGGCCAACCTTCTAACCACTGAGCCAAACTGGCCAGGGCCAGCCTTGTACTTTTAAAAGTTAAAACAGCATGCCACTATTTGCTATCATTCTTTCCATTTTAAAAACCAAAGAGAAATATCAGTATTTCCTTTGCCACATCTTGTACACCATTATACACTATAATTCTTGAAAAGAAAATAATTATCCCTAACATTATCAGCTCAGTTCTGTTATGTTATGCTCTAAATTTGCAAAGAACAAGTAACCTCAAAAAATTTCTTGATATTTGGTAACCCGTTACTTCCCTACTCCTGTAAAAACAAAAACAAAACAAAAATACTGCAACTTTACTCTTCAAATTTAAACTGATGAGGAGAATCATCCCATCAACGTTTTTCAAATACATAAAACAATGAAATTGTTAGAATAAGACAGGGCTACGAACAGGATTGGATATAGATTTTAGTAAAAACTTTTCCACTAATTGGCCACGTGATCTTTTAGAAATTACTTCACCTGCCTGTTTCCTGACTCTTAAAATTCACTGTAGGGAGCTTTCCTGCATTAATATTCTGTAATTTTAACATTCCAAGGAGTTCTACATTAAATACACATAACAAAAAGACAAACCTCCCTTCACCATCTAAAGGTGCAGACCAGTGATACTAAAGCATGGGAAAGTACCATAAAGGATTCTCTTGACTCAATGACCACTGGTTAACGCTAGCTATCACATGGAACAGTGCGAGGAGTTAGCTGTGATCAGATGTTCTTTTAGAGAGCTGGATTAAGTGATAAATAGTTTTTTATCTGTTTGGTTTTTCAGGGTTTTTTTGTAGTAAAATATACATAAACCATTTTTCCAATTGTAGTAAAAACAAAACAAAACAAAAAACCCCATAACATTAAATTTACCATGTGAACCATTTTAAGTGTAGAATGCAGTGGTGTTAAGTATACTCACGTTGTTGTGCAACAGATCTCCAGACCTTTTTCATCTCACAAACTGAAACTCTATACCCATTAACCAACTCTTTATTTCCCCCTCCCCCATCCTTGGGGAATATCATTTTACCTTCCACCAGTCTACTCTCTATTTCTATGAATTTTACTTTAGATACCTCATAAATGGCATTTGTCTTTTGTGCATTTTAACAATTTTTAAGTGTATAATTCGGTGGTATTAAATATATTCACACTGTTATGCAA